TGGTATAAATTTCACATAATAATTTTGTATAAAAAAATATTAATATACATCACATTCACTCGAAACATAACATCCCATACAACATCATCATCTCGTAACAAATTGAGAAGAGATATTCCTAATTTGGTAAGCCAGAATCATCCACCAATAGATTTTGAGCAAAGGTTTCCCGATTCTCAAATTTGAAGACTTGAAGTTGCCTATCATTTCCAACTCTCTCAAGTCTGAGGTCACATGCTCCATTTGGCTTTGCACCGGCCTAATTTTTCCAAATCTCTGAAATCTGTCATCCTTTTCTCATCAAATAATTCCAGGTCGAACCTAACTCTGCACGCATCGCAAGATGGCAATTGCATGAAATCATAGTTAGGCTCTGGGGTTCGGTTGGGCCACCGATTGCGATTGTCAAGTTCTCTTGCTGACAGCTCGCAGATCATGACTATTCGATGGTCCCAACCAGTTAGGTTGGATTTTGCTTATAGTTCCATTTTTTCGGCACACAAATTAAAATATTGATTGATATACTTTTTAATACGTTGAGACTTGAGAGAAATAATATGTCTAAAATGAAGAATAGTTTAACTATTTGCCAGAGCCTGAAATCCCCTATAACTAACAAGGGTTGGCTCAATTGATAAGGTCCTGGTCTTATGTGTCGCCCTATCAAAGTTCGAGCCTTGCTGCCTGCAGTTCTCGTTGGTGGGCGATCTGTAAATTCATACGTAAATTTGCTGGCAGCAGACATTTAAGTATCATGCATAAGACATTCCAACTCGAGGTTGTGGATATGCCCTGGCACTGATGGTGAGAGTAACCAATCTCTCCCTAAACTTTTTGTTAAAAAAAAAAATCCCTATACTTCAATAACATATCCTAAATTCTAATTATGATCAGTTGGTTCTCATTAGCTTTTTTGTGTTGTTTATGCTATTAACTTATTGAACTACGGCGTCATGTTGATAAATATAGGGGTAAATCAGGCATACAGAATCAGATAGAGTTAAAGATTTGGGGCTTGAAAGTGTATATATGTACGAAGTTAGGGTTTTGTCTGGTTGTTGTATTTTGGCCTTAGGTTTTTCCAACGTTAGGTTATAAGCTTATAGTGCGTGCATGGATATATGTGGTCTTGCACGTGACACATGGCACAAAATATAGTACGTACTAGTTCAGGGTTTTTATTTTTATTTTTATTTTTTTTTGAACGTTAGGTTATAAACTTCTCATAATCATGACGTGTGTGGTTGCAGTTTCTGCATGGTTCGACATAGGAAAAAAATTTCAATATGTCCGGAATACAAGAAAAATATTATATGTCATTATACAATAAGTAAAGTAAAATTAAAAATAAAAATCTTTATATTTGTATAATAATATATGACGTATCGTTTTATATTCCGGACATAATAAAAAACCTCTCCCGGGGTCTATATATCACACCAGCATCACTTCAAAGTTTCATAAGTTTTATGTGAGTCGATCTGTGCGGAAGACAAGGGCCTGACTAGGGAAGAGAGACAGAGATGGAGGTGCTGCAAATACTTCACATGAACAAAGGGAACGGCGAGACTAGTTATGCTCAAAACTCTAAAGTTCAGGTACAAATTAATTTCTAATTTTAACAACAGCGCGCGAGGATAACAAAGGAAATTAGTCGAGTAGTTCTTAATTATTATTGCATGGATCTCGTTTGATTAATCTAATTATTTTTTGTAGGAAAATATATTATCCATCGCAAAGCCAATCGTTGATGAAGCTGTACAAAAATTGTTGTGCTCAAATATGGCACCAATTGGGAGCATGGGAATAGCCGATTTGGGTTGCTCATCTGGACCAAACACCTTCCTTCTCATCTCCGAAATAATTGATGCCATCCGTGCCACACGTAGCAGCTCATCATCATTCACAGAATTTAGAGTGTTTCTAAACGACCTCTTTAGCAACGACTTCAACACCATTTTTATGTCACTCCCGGCATTCTACAACCAACTAAAGGAAGAAAATGGTGCTGGACTCGGGTCTTTCTTTGTCTCCGCCACGCCGGGCTCGTTTTACGGCAGGTTGTTTCCAGCCAAGAGTTTGCACTTCGTGCACTCTTCTTCTAGTCTTCATTGGCGCTCTCAGGTCCCTCATGGCCTGGATCTCCAGGCAGCTGGCAAAGCGTTGAACAAAGGAAAGATTTGGATTTCTAAGACCAGCCCCCAATGCGTTTTGGATGCATATTCATTTCAATTTCACAAGGATTTTTCGTTATTTCTCAAGTCCCGGGCTGAAGAAATAATTGGTGGAGGACGGATGGTGTTGTCAATCCCAGGCAGGTCATCCTCTGACCCATCAACTCCAGAGAGCTGCTACCAGTGGGATCTCCTAGCTCATGCATTAATGACCATGGTTTCAGAGGTACCTACATAGAAAAATATCCAATATTTAGTTTTAAGTTCCTAGTAATTCTCTTCATCTCCTAACAAGAATTTTCTTAATAATTTAACTTTTTTTTATGAACAATTATTATTTTTTTGTTATTTAGGAACAATACTTCAAGAATCAAACCATAGAAGAAAACTTCTGACCTATCAACTGTCAAAGTTGAGCAAAATAATAGTTGAGTGGGTAATAACATTTGAGTTTACCTTTTTTTTTCTTCTTTTTTAAAATGATATTCAATTTTTTTTTTTTTTTTTTTACTAAGAATGGAGTTTTATAGACTGCTTTATGAAGAACCCTTTTGCTCTATTTTTCACGAGTAATGTTATTTGGACATACACAAGACACATTCTTTAATACGTGCGTGACTCACATACCATTTCATAAGCATATATATTTTAGCGTGTACAAATACAAGCTTAATTTATTGACTAGTAACCTTTAGTATATGAATGGTATAGGGTCTTATTGAAGAGGAAAAGGTTGATTCCTTCAACCTTCCGTACTATGTCCCAAGTGAAGAGGAAGTGAAGCTGGAGTTAGAAAAAGAAGGATCATTTATAATAGACCGCTTTGAAGCCTTTGAAATTGATTGGGATGGTGGTGCGGAAACAACCGTCGTAGCCAGTGGTCAGCGAGTGGCCAAGACCATAAGAGCTGTGGTTGAGTCCATGATCGAATCTCATTTTGAAAAAAATATCATGGATGATCTGTTTCGTCGATACGCCGAGCTCATCGCCGACCACTTATCAAAATCTAGAACCAAGTTGCTCAATTTGTTTATTTCAGTCATTAGAAAGGACTGAGTTTTCTTAAACTTCCCAATAAAAATTTTCATCAACAGATTAAAGATCTGGTCTCATTGCCATTTCCTTAGTTATGTTGTTGGATTTTGTTTTAGAAAATGTTAAGGGGAGATCATATTTAATAAATTATGTTTGTACCATTTCTCTAATAAATGTAAAACTTACTTGAAAAATCTTATTTGTATCGGGGGTTCTACTTCTATTTAAAAAATATACGTGAAATCTACTTGACGACCCTACTTGATTCGTTTTAGGATGTAATATAATTACGGGCTTAGCCCCATTACTCATCCATATCACGTTGAGCACTCAGAAGCTGAATGGATTGTTTTTCCTTTTTGATGAAAGAAGCCCAATCAACTTGTTTGCTGTGTGGACCTCTTGCAACAACATCACCTTTTCAAATTGTTCAGTTCAGTTGTTGCACAATCGTACTTTTTTCGAAAAAAAAAACTACATAAGCAAAAAGCGGATTCGCATAGTTTCTATTAATTTTTGTCTTTTGATTTTATTCAATGTATTCGATTCGAAGGTTAAAAATTTAAAAGAGTATAGAAAATAAAAAGAGATGTGTAGATAACACTATCCAATTTTGTATGGTATTCTAAAGCATTTTATATTTTACATTTTTTAACCGTTAAATCTCTAATCAAATCACACAAAAACTAAAATCTATTGGTTATTAATTATTCTATGCTTTGAAGCACCACAGAATTTTTGCTAAGGCTAATTGCATAATAGTTCGGGTCATGCAAACAAGGACCGAAACCATAAATGTGGGATAATAAGGAGTTGACTTGTGGCTAGTGCATTCGACTTCTGGTTTTCACTACTAGAATTATGCTCATTACACACCATTTTTTACCCACCCTTTGCAATTGGTGGCCACAGATATAAAGTTGCTACTTTTACTATTTTTTGGTGGCTTTACAATGGGATGCCACTGATATCAGTGGCCGTAAAAAATCAACCACCAATGATTGGTGTCTGTTAACTAACTTTATTTCTTAAAATTACTTTTCTTCTACTTTTTTATTTCATTATTTATTTTGTTGGCGCCTAAGTGGTGCTGGTTAATATTTTTGTTTTCAAAGTTGGGACATATATTGCTTCTCAGGATCTACGAATGCAAGTCAAATACAAAAGGGAGACAGAGAGGCCAAAACCCATAGAAGGACAGAGCCTTGGACCCTAATCGCATCTCTTGGCCATTATTGCTTCGATCAGTGATGAAGTCGAGCGGTTCCGCGAATGATTGGTGTCTGTTAAATAGCTTTATTTCTTAAAAATACTTTTTTGTGCATTTGTGAATTAAATTGTCACCATTGTCAAATTTTGGTGGCCTTAACCTTTCTAACATCCTTTGTAACACCTGTCAAACTATAAATTTTTTGACACCAAAGACTTTTTACATGTTTTTTTTAACTTTGGGGCCTGTTTTCTTATTTCTTTTTCAGTCTTCTTCTCCTTTTTTTTCTGTCAAAAATATTATTTTTCTCATTTAATAATCTTATTCTACATTACTTTCACCCCCAAATAAATACAAAGTGGGACAACCCTATTTTCGACCCAGCCGTTCTCTCTCTCTCTCTCTCTCTCTCTCTCTCTCTCCTCCCTGAGCTCAACTCCTCGCCTCCTCCCTAACCCTAGCTCCCTAACCCTTTCGATGGGATCGACGGCTCAGTGTGGGATTTGGTGAGGGGAAGGCATGCGGCTGATAGAGAGTAAGAGAGATAGTGGGCGAGGGAGAGAGAAAGATAGGCATTCGATGAAGGGAAGGCGTGCGGTTTGTAGAGAGGGCGGAGGGAGGGAGGAGAAGACGAAAATCAACTGCAACAAGTTCATGGATAGGGTCGCAGCAATGAAGACCCCTCGGCAGTAGATTCAAGTCAATCTTGGTTTTTTGGCCGATTTGGAGTAGGTTTACACTAAAATTGAGAAAACACATATGAACGCAAAGGCTCGAGGATGTATGACAACTTGGAAAAGGTAACTCTCGAAGATGTCAGGTTTGAGAAGGGAAAAGGTAAAGTTTCGCACTTTAGTGTATGATCCTGAAATTAATTTGTGTGTGAGTTCTGATCTCTGTAATTTTGTGTAAAATTCAATGACTTTACCTTTTCTAATGCCTTTTTATTTTCTATTTTCTTTTTTTTTTCTTTGAGCTTCTGCTTTTTGGGTTCTATTTTTCGATTTCACAGTCGACTGGAAATATTGAGGGGAGGGAGAGAGAAATTGCTCTGTTATAACTACGCTTCTATATTTCCTACGGGTTGGTATATTTGATAATTAGAAATGATAGCTTTACTTGATTGATGTTTTATTTTTCTGTATTCAATTTAAGGTACTGTGAATTGGGACCCGACAATCCACCATACGCTGCCAAGTTCTACAACTGTTGTGGGGCTGCACGACCAGTTTCCATGTTTCGTATGATGACGATTGATCCATGTAATATCTCTCTTTTAAGTTTCATCATTTCATTCAGTCTTGCTCCTGCACTCTAACCAAGCTTCTGTATCTCCAATAATTTCATCTCTTTTATATAAAAATGAAGTTGATGCGTAATTGGGTTTTTTTTTTCTATAGTTATGTTTTTTTTTCATTATCGAATTAATCTTTCCTGCTGTTGTTTATATAATTCATGAGGGAAGAGAGTTAATGGAATGGGGGTAACAAAAGAGGGGAAGGAAAGGGAAAGATGAGTGCACGGGTTGGCCTGTGTTTTTTTTAATTGGTTTGAGATTTTGTTTACGTTTGGGGTTCTTTTGCCCTAACACAATTTTGAATTCATATAGAATTTTGTTTATGTTTGGGGTTGTCATGTTCGTGTATTTAATTTGGTGTTTGGTAGTTTACGTTACAGTTGTCGTCGGTTTTCTTAAAGGATAAATCCAAGCGATAATGCCCTTTCTGATGTATGTGCAAATGTTAACACTTTGTAGTCATCAATTCTTCGTTGTGTTTATGTATTCTTTGAGTTGGTTGATACAATTAAACTTATCTCTGAATCAGTTTTGATAAATGTTTGCTAGACGCTCTAAATGCTTGAGGAAAAATGAGAGTACTACAGAAGGCTGCTGCAAAAGGGTAAGAATAGCTGCCGAGAGCTACTACAATTTTTGTTAATTAAGGGTCGGCAACTTACTTTGGCATTTGTAATCATCAATTCTTGACTCGAGCATTACGTATGAAGAATGGAGTTGTATAACTTTTGGAGTTAACATTTTGAGAAATAGCTTTAAATTTTTGTTTTCATTTTGCTGATTTTCGAAGTGGTTGTGGGAAGCAGTTCTTTTGAACCAGATTAATTGTTTCACTGATTGTTTGTTGATTTTGTTTTTGAATTTTGGGAGTCGATCTTAAAATGTAGTGGGCTTTTAAGAGATTCGGGGTTTTTCCAAATCTGAATTTGGTACGTGTGTGTGTTGTGCTGAGGTTGAATTTGAATTTTGCTGATTGGTTTCTTATCAGCTCACTTCACCCATCTCTTGGTTATTTGAATTCTTTAGAGATGCTTGTATTGACTTGTGATTTTGTTGGATTTACTCTGGTGAAATTTGTTCATCTGCACTGGCTGATTTTAGGCCGCGACTCCATTCTTGTTTATTACTAAGTCTTAATGGTGTAGGGTATATGTAAATGAATTCAATTAGAACTCACTTTTTAATTTTCTGTTTTGTAGCTGCCTTGATCATTAGTTGGTGATGTTTGGGAGATTGAGAGTAGGATAGGATAATTTGTTCATTTGCGCTGGCACTGATTTCTATCCATTTTGAGAGGAAAGCAGATTTGGGTTCCAACTAATCCTCGAGGGACTGAAAGCCTGGCGCTTGGTATCATTGCATCTGAGTCGGATTTCTATCTTCGCCGACTATGGGGTCTGCCCAGTGAGGTGTGCATCTACTACTCTTAACTTTAGTATGAATAACACGTCCTGTTTTGTTTAAGAATAGGATTATTTTTTCAAACCTGTTCTCTAATCTTAGCCTATTCTTTTTGAGGTGGAACTTGTAGGACTTACTTGTCAAGCCAAAGTATCTTGTAACCTTTACCGTAGGTTGTGCTCAGAAAAATAACGTTGATGCAGCAGTTAAATGGGTCAGTTCTCTCAACAATAGCGAAGTTCACATGTAAGATTGGCATGACATGTTTAAACTCTTTGGAAACAGAGTGTTCAAACACTTTTCAAAGTTTGAGTCCCAACATTTGTTCAAAATTGTATAAAAGATCAGTTATGCAAATTGTAGTATATTCTTATATCAAAGATATTACAATTTGTTTCCTCACCAAAAAGAAAGAAAAATATTATATTCAAATCTGGGTGCCCCCAGAGGCATCCTTTTTTTTTATAATATTAATGTTTGAACTTGCCACAATGTGAATAGCACTTAACATGACCTAAACCTAAATTCTCTTTTTTCCTCCCAAAAGGCATTCAACCATGACCTAAATAACTAAAACTAAAACTTTATAGCCAAACTAGCTATTTAGCCAAACAAATGGTCCCACCAAGATTGAAACAAGGGCTGTGAGCCCAGCCAGTTTCCAATCGAGATGAGAAATCATTTGCACATCCAGGAAGATACACGCCGGCCCAACCCGTGGGGTTGTGGTGTCCCGATATGTAGGTACTTTTCATCCAACGGCTGAATTTAAATGGGTCGTTGGTTAATCCAACGGTCCAGGTTCAAATTATTATTTTTTTAGTTTTATATTTATATATTTATTGAATCCAACGGCTTAGATCGAATATAATCAAATCTAACGGTAAAAATAAAAAAAATCTAACGGTCCAAATTTAAATCAAATGGCTAAAATAATTTAAAACAATTATTTAACTTAAAATTCAACCAAAAACTCTATAAATACCTATCTATGTGTTCAAACATCCACACAAAACTCACTTTTCTCCTACAATTCTTCCAATTTTTCTTTCTACCATTTCTTCTCATTTCCAAATTTTTCAAGATGGCAAAAGAGCATATTAGAGGTCGTAATTGGACATTTGACGAAGATATTGCTTTATGTTTGGCATGGATTTCTGTTATTGAAGATGGTGCCATTGGCACGAACCAAAATAGAAAGGTTTTGTGGGGTAAAATCGTTGATAAGTTCCATGAAAACTCCAACGCCGGTCGAAGGGGAGTTGGTGGTGTTTATGATCGGTGGAAGATTATCAACAAAGCGTGCACTTTGTGGAAGGGAAGCTTGGAGAAAGCCATGGTTGACATGCTTAGTGGAAGGGACGCCTCAGAAATTGTGAGTTTATTTGTTGATATTGTAGTTGTCATGTACATAATAGTATTTTGCAACTAATTATTTTTATGTATTTGTTGCATAGGGTGACAAAGTAATGGCAATTTACAAGACAAGAACTACACCAAAAAATCAAGCTTTTAAGTTGCATCATGCTTAGAACATTCTCAAGGATTGTCCGAGGTGGGGAACCGATGCGAACCAACAATGTGGAAGATTATTTCATAGTGAAGCCCCACCCACAAATGACGTTAATGAAGGTGTGAATTTTGCCGACAATGAAGGTGTCGAACAAATGATCCCAACTTCTTCTTTTGCAAGGCCCCCGGGTAGAGATAAGCAAAATGAAGCAAAGAGAAAAGGGAAGTCCCAAGATCCGACACGTGCTCAATTTGCTAGCGAAATGGCAATAATGAACGAAAACCAGTGCCGTCGGCAAGAAGAATCGGCCCAAATACTTTTGGCCATGAAGGAAGAAGGGGATAGGGAGCAAGAAAGGTACGAAACTAATTTGATAATGGAGGACCTCGACAAATACACTCTAGAGAGGAAGAGATACTTACGTGGTAAGCAAAAGGAAATTTTACGAAGGAATGCCACAAGGAGTATATTTCAAGATGATGATTCATCTTAAGACTATCACCCAAGTCCATCACCAAGTCAAGATGGTGAATATCATTATTAAGTTTATGTAGTCTATGAGTTTTCGATTGTATTAAGTTTATGTAGTTTATTAATTGTCTTTTTTATTTTTTAAGTTTATGTGGTTTATTAATTGTCTTTTTTATTTTTTAAGTTTATGTGGTTTATTAAATGTTGTTAGTATTAAGTTTATGTGGTTTATCTTGATTTTCATGTATTGATTTAGTGATTTTTCAAAATTTATCGGAATTTAAATATTTTTAGGTTAAAATGTTCATAAAATTAAGGGGTCTTTTGATATGGGTCCAATTTTATAAGCCTTTTTTGAATGGAATCCACTTATATTACATAAGCATAAGTGGGGGCTAGTAAGTACAACAATCATCCATGTCAGCAATTAAAATGCACATAATTTACCAACAAAATTACAACAAGTGCCATTAGAGCACTTTATCAGGTATCTTGCAGATTTGCCTATTCTGTTTATTCAAAAGAGGCATAACATCAAACACCTTCTGTGCATTGGTTTTTTTTTTTTTTTTTAAATAAATGAGAAGCATATCAATGAGAGATGATAGAAAGGTATTAGGGGGATTCTGACTGTGGAGCTGCAGTGAGAATATATATTTATCTTGAACTTCTATTGAAAAAGGTGCGGGATGAATCGAATTCTGCATTCATTTCCCGGTTGTGGCGTGTAGCATCACCACACCTACTGCACAACTGCACAGAATAGGCGAAATTGTCCATCCGAATTCATTGTCTACTAGATAAGTTTAAGCCTTCCTTAAAAATAGATTGATAAGAAATTCAAATTCAAAAATTGTTATCAAGAAATCTGGAAGAAAGATGAAAGACCACTAAACAATGAATTTGAATTCTGATAAAAATTTAAAACGTGGGTAATATATGAAGAACGTGTCAAATCTATAAGAGGGTAAAATAGTAATAACAATGCAAACAAATCAACCTAATCAGAAAAATTGCTGACATGGAATCCTAATCATTGGAGCTAAGTCAAAAATAACTAAAAATTGGACTAATCCTAATATTGGGCTATAAAATTGGACCTATTTCAAGTTTCCCCTAAAATTAATTTAGGATAGTCTACATAATTTTTTTTTTAAAGTTAATTTAAAAAAAAATAAAAAGCCTTAATTCATTCTTTGATAATCTGGGGCTAAAATTTTAGGCCAGAAGGGTTGGAGTAGAAAAGCTGTTTCTGGGCTAAAACCTAAATTTTCTGGGCTAAATATTTTTAGGTTTTAGGCTACCATTGGAGATGGTCTTAGGGTGGCATTGTTAGTCTCAAATCTAGCCACTAATAAGAGGGACAATGAGAATTTTAGAAATAATAAAAAAATATAAAACAGTTGTACTATTCACATACCCGCCAATGCAATATTGGTAGCCATTGTTACAATAGAGTCCTCTACATAGGCCACACTCTCTAGTTTAGTAGGCCACACTCTCTAGTTTAGTGGGTGCTTGGTGGCCATAGAGGTTTGCCACCAATTTGAGTGGCAACACTTGACAATAGCCACCAAATGAAAAGGGTGGCTTTTAGCCAAATTTCTAGTAGTGTTTAGGACTACTAGTTAAGTTGTTTTCTCTTTAGCGGAGAACAACACATTGAATGAGAGAAAATATCAAAATTGGCTTTCACCCGCATTGCTAGTTATACTAGGTTGTTGTATTTTGGTATATATTCCATAAACTAATTTTGTATAAAAAAAGTTATATATACATCACAATCATTCGAAAATATTACACCCCATAAATACAATATCATTATTTCGTAACAGTCTGAGAATAGATTGTCCTAATTTTGTTAGCTAGCCTATCAACAATTGTATTTCGTTTCATGTGCACACAACACATGGAAATTAGGGACCTTGATTCTTCATCTTCCATTTTCTCTCCCTTTCAGTCTCCTCTTATTTGAACGTTTACAATTGAGTTACATCAATATTTTATTTTGATTTCTTTATAAGGAGAGAAAGACAAAGAAAAAAATGAGAGAGAAGCGAGCGAAATTTAGATGGAAAAGAATCCTAATCAATCCACCACCAACAGATTTTATTTGGTTCCTTTTTCTTTCTAAGATTAGACCCATACAAAGACTAACAAGGAACCCATATTCTCCATTTATATATACAGTAAAGGATTCCCGATTCTCAAATTTGAAGACTAATAAAGAACCCATATTCTCCATTTATATGTACAGTAATGGATTCCCGATTCTCAAATTTGAAGACTTGAAGTTGACGCATTAGGGACATTCTTTGAAGCGTTGTATTTGCTGAGATTATTAAATTATATACGGTTTGCACTTGCCTATCTTTTCCAACTCTCTGAATCTGTCATCCTTTTCTCATCAAATAATTCAAGGTCGAAACTTTTGCATGCGTCATTAGATGGCAATTGCACGGTGGTGAAAATTTTAAAACATGATATTTAGAATATTGTTCGTACTCCCAACAACCTGCATGGACCTGGTCCCCTGCTTGGAATCGTGGATTACACAGATACCAACTAATATGAACATTAGCTAGGCTCTGGGTTTCCGTTTGGCCACCTATTGCGATTGTTAAGTTCTCTTGGTGACAGCTTGCAGATCACGACTATTTTTCTCTCAAGAAAATATATACATGAAGAGAAAACTCCAGTACAACCGAGTTCAATACAATCAAAGAGGAAAGCATTCTAAATTTTTGATGGTAAGGAATGATCCTAAATATGACAATTTTAAAAACATCAACAAAACTTGTAATAGCAATATAGCATCCGCAAGAAAGTTTGTCTATCTGAAAACAAGATTTCAAATAATAGTGTTAAAAGACTGAATAGTTTTATTGGTAATTTTTTGTGTCCAAATAGTTTTATTGTTGAATTTTGCTTTACAAAATGTGAAGATGAGATTACATTTAGTAAACTATATTTGTATCGCTGCTCTAATAGATGTAAAACTTACTTGAAGGTATCGATTGGTAGGTATACTTCCATTAAAAAAGTAGTATAAATATCGTCTAACAAATATGATATCTCAAATTATTGTTGCATTATAAGTCTATGTAATCAATTGGTGGAGTCGCGTTTCCAACTCTCCAACGTTATATTTGGTGGGAACATTTGACAATTGTCAGATAAATGTGGATATAGACCAACACGTTTAAATTGCAAAGGATTTAAGCAAGTGTTTCGAATATTTGGCATTTATCAGATATATGTGGAAGACCAACACGTTTAAATTAGGTGATTAACATGCAACTTGCAAAGAATTTAAGCACGTTTTTCGAATGTGTATATGCTCCCTGATGCTGGGAGAATACATGCGTGCATGAATAAAAAATTATGGGCACCGAAATCGTTGATTTTTTTGGATTCCTGTTTCCACTCATTTAAAAATCAGCATTGACATTTTTCTTGTAACTTTTAATTAAGCATGTTGAATATTATGTGGAGCAATAACTGAGTTTTTTGTTTGATTTATACATTGTATTGATTGACCCTTGACAGAGATTCTCGTGTTTACAATTAGGGATTGGAAGTCTAACGTTGAAGAAAAATAAAATTCAAAAACCCAAGCTTCATTGTTCTTTGTTTAATTAGTTAAATTGCTGCTTCTCTATGTTGATTGATGAGTTTGTTTTTATTATTGAAGAAAATAGTATATATTATTGAAAAACTCATCCAATTCATAAGGATGGAGAAAAAACCGGAGCTAACATACATTTCGGGAAAAAAAGAATTAGGCAAGTCAGATTACAAAGGGAAATTTTATTTAGACCCAGTTAACTTATTTCTACACCCATTAATTTTTTTTTTAAATTTTATATTCTAATTATGCCCTGGGGTGGGTTGCCGGAAATAAAAAAGAGGGATTAACGGAGGGTGGAGAAGAACGGTAAAATGATAATGGAGGAGGGTTGTGGCCTTCGACGAAATCGGGAGATCATGTTGCCCGAGCTAAGTTGGGTTTGTCAAAGAAATATAGGGCTTCTAATGTTGATATATATATATATATATATATATATATATATATATATCTCTCTCTCTCTCTCTATCTCTCTCTCTCTCTCTCTCTCTCTCAAATTTTGGTCTCTCATCAATTCCTTCTTCACCCAATTTCAAATGACTTCCAGCTTTTTCATCCTTGAAAGCATATATAGCTTTTTAACTTGTCCACGTTTGGGACTGCATCCTTATTCCACGAATTGCAGATCACACCGGTCTTTTGAGCTGCAATTTGCTAGTTTTTTTATTTACTTTTTAATTGGTCCATTAAGTTTTAAGGAAACTACAAAAAATGTGTGGAGATCTTGGGTTTGAAATCCGATACTGGTGTGGAAGCCAGACTTATGGTCAGAGGGGGCTGAAATGCCTCTGTGAGTCTTCTCAAGCCTTGAAAAGGGTGAATAACAGTGCCTTGCCACTCGTTGTCTCCCTCTTTAAAATTAAAAAAAAAAAAAAAAAGTTTTAAGGAAATTGTAGTCGGACCAAAATCTAGCCCCATAGAGATGAAGAATTGAACATTGATGAGATAAAGAGGAGGTCGGCGACGACAATTTTTGTAACGACAATCGGAATCAAGTCCGATTACTGCCATTGTAGGTGGTTGGGTTGGTTTATGCGTTTGTGTTCTTCTTTTTTTTTATTTTTTTATTTTTTATTTTTTAAGTTTGTACAATTTTGTATTTGAGGGTAAAAAGGTAAGGTTGCTGGACAAAATTTTCACGTTAGGTGTGAAAAGAGAATTATTGGGTGTAAATAAAATTTCCTGATTACAAATAATGGTTAATTGTCAAACTAAATGCATAGCTTTACTCTCTTATACGTACCATAGTAATAGAAAGAATTATAGGCATTTGTGGGTGCTGGGTTTTTTTTTTTTTTTTTTTTTCCTTTCAAATTTAAATAACGGTAAAAGAGGTAGTTTAACAAGAATTCAAAAAAATGGGGTGTTGATAAAAAAAGCCCATCAAATAATGTGTTACCAATAAAAAATAAAAACGTTAATCAACACACTTAATAATCTAATCATCAATATCCACATAATTTGATTTACAAAATTTAATTTAGAAGTTTGGTCCCTCAAGCATTAGCCATGTAGAAAAGTAGGATTTTGTCTGGCTGTTGTATTTTGGCCTTAGGTCATTTCAGGGTTATGTTATAAACTTATAAGGCCAAATTTTTTTTTGTTGTTCCTGTGGTGACACACCACTTTCAATGTCACTCTTGTGATTAAAAAATTGTTATTTAAACTCCCGTGGTGAGCCCTGTTAGCAATTGAGATCCAAACTTCCATTAGTCTTTTGTTAAATAAACTCACGTGACTATCACATAATGGTCAAATACGTCATTTCAATCCAAATTACATCCTATTCCATGGACATCTAATATGACTTAGGTATACACTTGTTCTTTATGGGTTAGTTATGGCAAACACTTTTTTTTCTTGTGAGTTAAAAAGTTGGCATCTGATTCCAGTGCACAAAGCAAATTGAAACAAGTGGAAATGAGAGATAATTTACAAGAATAACTTAAAGAATTAAAGACAACAGGTGAACAACATTGCAGTTTATGCATTTCGACGAGTGAAAGGCATTGCAAAATTGAAGACAATGGGTGAAAGGCAGTGCAAAAAATTCAATTTTCACGTTTGCCCTCTTCATAGGAACTTCAAGAGAGTAAGAAACTTAAATAATTTAAATTCAAAGAAGATTAAGAAAAAAATGAAAGGTTGTGTACTGGCCAACTACGGCGTCCATCAAACCACACTACCAATTAAAGACAAAATTGAAAGGCATATATGCATTCAGACTGGTACAAATTGATACAAGAATGAAAATTCAACTAAGACTAAGACTCTAACTCATGATCAAAGATGTGTTGGCATTGAAAAAAACAATAGTTTATTAGAAGTATTATGATTTCCAAACGAAATTAAATCATATCTAAGAAATTATACGTTGCTTCACTTCACCTCTTCTCCTAGCCATTGATGTGATTTTACAAGTTTAGTTTCACTCTTTACATTCAAGCTTTCTTCTATGAAATCTAATTCCGTTAAACCCTAACTCATACTAGATGTCCATGAAATAGGATGTAATTTGAATTGAAATGACGAATTTGACCCTCAGTTGTGATAGTCATGTGAGTTTATTTAACGGAAGACTAACAAAAGTTTGGATTTAGACCTCAATTGCAAATAAGGCTCATCACAAGAGTTTAATTAAAAATCTTTTTCACCACAAGGATCACATTGAAAATGTCGTATCATCACAAGGATCACGAAAAAAAAAAATTGGCCAACTTATAATGCATGTATGTGGTCCTGCACGTGACACATTGTACACCACATGGTACGCAGTAAGGGTTACATTATAAACTTATAATGTATGTATGTGGTCCTGCACGTGATACATGGCACACAACATGGTACGCAGTAATCAATTACGATATGTGTGGTTGCAGTGCTCCCGCATGGTCCGACATGGGGTCTATATATCCACACCACACCAGCATCATTTCAAGGTTTCGTAGGCTTTGCGTGACACCATCTGTGAAGAAGACGGGGCTGACTTGGGTAAGGGGAGACTGAGATGGAGGTGCTGCAAATACTTCACATGAACCAAGGGAATGGCGAGACTAGTTATGCTCAAAACTCTAAAGTTCAGGTACAAATTAATTTGTTTATTTTAACAACAAGAATGCACGAGGATAATATGTACGGAGAATATTAATCGAGTCCAACTACAAATCAGGGCCAAAATTAACTCATTAATATTGTTTTAGTTAACTATATATCTTTTATTATTTTATTATTATTGCATAGATCTCCTTTAGTTAATCTAATTATTTATGTTTTGTAGGGAAAAATATTATCTATAGCAAAGCCAATCATTGATGAAGCTGTACAAAAATTGTTGTGCTCAAATATAGCACCAATTGGGAGCATGGGAATAGCCGATTTGGGTTGCTCATCTGGACCAAACGCCTTCCTAGTTATATCTGAGATAATTGATGCCATATATGCCACACATAGCAGCTCATCGTCATCCACAGAGTTTAGAGTGTTTCTAAACGACCTCTTTAGCAACGACTTCAACACCATTTTTATGTCACTCCCGGCATTCTACAACCAACTGAAGAAAGAAAAAGGTGACAGATTCGAGTCTTTCTTTATCTCCGCTGTGCCGGGCTCGTTTTACGGTAGATTGTTTCCGGCCAAGAGTCTGCATTTCGTGCACTCCTCTTCTAGTCTTCATTGGCTCTCTCAGGTCCCTCCTGGCCTGGATTGCCAGGCAGGTGGCAGAGCGTTGAACAAAGGAAAGATTTACATTTCTAAGACCAGCCCCCAATGCGTTTTGGATGCATATTCACTTCAATTTCACAAGGACTTTTCGTTATTTCTCAAGTCCCGAGCTGAAGAAATAGTTGGTGGAGGACGAATGGTATTGTCACTCATGGGCAGGTCGTCCTCTGACCCATCAACTCAAGAGAGCTGCTACCAGTGGGAACTCCTAGCTCATGCATTAATGAGCATGGTTTTAGAGGTACCAACATAGATAAATATGCAATATTTAGTTTTAAGTTTCTGGTAGTTCTCTTCATCTCTCGTAAGAATAATTTTCTTAGTAATTCAACTGTTTTTCCTAACAACTTTTACCGTTGTTGAGAAACAATACTTCAAGATCCCATAGTAGAAAAACTTCTGACCTATCAACTGTTAACGTTGGGCACAATACTAGTTGAGTGTGTAATGTACAATTGAGTTTACCCTTTTTCTTCTTCTTTAAAATGAGATTCAAGTGTTTGATTTTATTATGAATGGAGTTTTATAGACTAATTTGTGAAGAACCCCTTTTTTTCTTTATTTTTCCGTAAGTAATGCTATTTGGACATAACAATTAGTCACACTTTTTAATATAGGTCAGACTCATACATAATAAGCCAACACATATTAAATAGTATATAAATAAACTGTCATCAGTTCTATGTATCCAAATGGTTTTCTTATTTTTCATAAGCATATGAGTTTTTAGTGGATGCAAACACGAGCTTAATTTATTGCCTAGTAACATTTTGTATATGCAATGGTATAGGGCCTCATTGAAGAGGAAACGGTTGATTCCTTCAACGCTCCATACTATGCCCCAAGTGAAGAGGAACTGAAATTGGAGTTAGAAAATGAAGGATCATTTACGGTGGACCGCCTTGAAGCCTTTGAAATTGATTGGGATGGTGGTGCAGAGATATCTGTTGTAGCCAGTGGGCAGCGAGTGGCCAAGACCATAAGAGCTGTGGTTGAGTCGATGATCGAATCTCATTTCGGAAAAGATATCATGGATGATCTATTTCGTCGGTACGCCGAGCTGGTCGTAGATCACTTATCAAAATCTAGAACCAAGTACATCAATTTGGTTTTGTCGGTCATTAGAAAGGACTGAGTTTTCTTTTCTTTTTCCGATCACAAATTAAAAATCAGGTCTCATTGTCATTTTCTTAGGTTATTGGTTTGCCTTTTCACCAAAAAGGAAAAAAAATAGTATGATTGTTAGCTTCGGATTATCATTTATGTGAGCAATCTAAAATATATTTGGCCATCTGTCATTGCTTCTAATTAGTTGTATGAATGTGGTCAATTATTAAAGAGGGTTTTAGTGACAATATACATTTGATAACTGTATGAAGGAAACATGAGTCTGTTTATTATGATAAGTTAAATAATACATAAGTAGTTAGTTATTTAATCAACTAATTAATCACACAACTAAGTGTAACATACTCATGTGGCCCTTGTATGGTTGTCAACATAACCTTATATTTTGATCCTTCTAAATTTAATGAAACTTTATCCTCCATAAGGCTACCATATTTCCAACCTTAGCGGGAAATTTTATTCCCAGTGAGCCGAAAAATGAGGCTACATCCACCACTGGGGCTAGCATCTTCCTTTCTTGGGTAGCATAAAATCGGGCTAAATCTAGCCCTAAAAAGGAGTGAGCCCCACAAAAAAAGTAGCAACCCATATGAGCAAAATTCTATCACTCTCTCTCCGCTTGCGAATATACTTATACTCTCATTTTATTATAATTTTTAGTTCTTTTTTCTTGCAATTTGGCTAATCAATGATTGTTCTAAATTTCATAAGAATTAAAATTTCAAATTGATTTAACGTTCATGGGTATTGATGTGTGAAATTTTCAAATAATTTATTTTTTCAAAATTCTCTGAAGTAAATTTACCAATTGGTGTTAGGTAAATTATTGTGTTATACATGAAAATCAAATTATTTCAAAGGACGATGCGGGGATTTGTTTCTTTCAACAGATGAGATTGAGATAAGAGAATATAATTCAAGGAACGATTCATTAGTGATGAAATCTAATTTTGTCACAATTTGAACATTTTAGGTTGAAGGGTTCATAAAAAAAAATTAAGATAGCATGTCTAAAAATTAACTTAAGAAAAGCTAACACAAAAAAATAAAAAAAAATCATCGTTTTATCAAATTACTACATAAATAAATATATATAGCCCTATAAAGAGCCCGAAAGATATAACTCTTCAATAGGAAAGATTCTTTTATAAAGCTCCAAAGATTCTTTGGAGCTCTAAAATAGGCTATATCCACCATTTTTCCAACCTCATATAAAACCCCTCACTAAAAATGCTCTTACGTTCTAGCAAAGTTCGAGTTCTTGGCAAAGACTCTAGATACATCAAGTTTGTGCCTTTCCGTACAAGGTATGGTGGGGTTATGAATAGATATTTTGTCGCTATTTAAATAGGAAGTGTTATTGGCACTTCAAAAGTTTTATTCTACACTTTTTACAAGTATATTTTTCTTTCCAAATATAGAGAGTTAGAAGTGTAGAATGAAAATTTTAGAATGCTAATAACAGTTCCTTTACATAAGCATCCACTTGGAGCTTTTGATGGCAGGACAATGTTCGCGTTTTAGTGCCAGCATCAAGATGGCGTTTTAGTGCAAAAGTCCTCTTAGAGTGGTCCTCCTCTAAAGCTCGAAGCTATTCTGTGGCAGATGATTGTACCTTGTGCGGTTGGGAAGCTGGACTCCAAAGCTATTTAAATAAGATGATTGGACCTTTTCTGTGGCAGATGATTGGTCCTCCTCCAAAGCTCAAAAGTTTTGGGTCCTCAAAAGTCATGGACTGTGAAAGAAACATCTTATTCGTCATCTTCTTGGCCATCTAATTGTGAATACTTCCTTTGAGGCCATTATGAGGAGGAATTCATTTGTAAAAACGAACAGACCACGTGTTTGTCTAATCAGACGCATTGGATGGGACTGAAATTTAAGAGGAGTATTAGGCTATCTTCAATCGAAAGAGAATTAAAAGGCTCGTTTTAATTCTTTGGTCCTTTAAGAAATTAATATTTTAATGAACAGTGCAAGGTCACATTTCTTACTATTTCCAACTGAGGGCCAAATGACCATAGGACCAAATATAGTCTTGTGACAAAAAATCATCTCCAATCGAGGGTCAAAGAGTCATAGGACTCAACATAATTTATTATTTAAATTTAAAAACTACAACTTATATTTAAACACTACTACAACACCTTTGGGCCAAAAAAAATATGGAGTAGACGTTTAAGTTTTATGTTGTTAAATGTTTTTTAAAATGTTGTTTAAGTAAATGTTTTTTTTATATTGTATAATTTTTATGTTGTTTAATGTTATTTAATGGCTTAGGAAGTTATAGGAAAAAAATAGAATTTTTTTTTAATTTTGTAAAAAAAAAAAAAGGTCAAATATAACGGTTAGCTAACGTCAGCTAGTTGTTGCATTCAAATTTTCTGGTCTGGCTTGAGGCTGACTGCTTGGCTGAGTTGGGCCAGCCGGTTGGCCCTCTAGTCATTTTTGTCCCACGGAGCCCATAAGCCTTTGGCCTAGCTTTCGGTTGGAGATGGTGTTTGGGCTATTTTCGACCCTCTGGACCCTTCAATTAGAGATGGCCTTAATAAGTGCAGAGTTTTGTCTTTTAGGTCAAACAACCACGTGGTCCGATCATCCAAACCGAAGAATTTCTCTCTACTGATAGTGGAAGAGAAACTGATCTCTTATGATAATACGTAATTGGTTAAAATACCACCATATTAATTTGAGATATCGTCGCAATATCACTCTTATCGCAGAAAAGTTCATCCTAAAAGCAAGGGACTAGTCAAACAATTTGGAGGGGTGGGGAGACCTTATAAATGGGATAACTAAGAACAGAGATTCCACAAGAATTAAAAGGGATCCATAACATTATCACAACTTTCCCACAACTGGACTTAATATATTAAAAATTCAAAGAATCAAAGACATTAAGTGGATTTTTCAAACAAAGATTTCAAGCACATTTACCTGAATATATATGTTATCTCCTTGCTCCTCCATTGCTGCAGCATCTCCAAAGGCAAGAATCCCAGCAAGCAACTTGTCTGAACGGAACAAACCCCATCGGACATTCTCCTGCTCATTAAAAACATGTTGCACAATGTAAATTATTCAAACACAAAACACAGAAGCGACCATCAACGTTAGCAGAAAAAACATGTGTCCTAGGATTGACTATTTGCATCAAATGACTCTGTGTCTGTGGCCCGCCATTAGGGTCCACCGTGTTGGTCCGGCTAAGGAGACAAAGTCTTTACGTCGGTGGTATGTGGATCTACCTCGTCCCACAAACACAATCTTTAGGTCATGTTTTTTTCCAAAACAAAATCTTTAGGTCATGCTAAATTCAAAAGGAGGTGTAGAAAAACAACATAATCTTAAGAAAAAGGCGTTTTAGCCAAAATGGTATCTGAGATTTTCATAACACATCACTTTGGTCTCTGAGATTTCAAATCAATAGAAGTGGTCCCTGAGATTATCCAACATCCATCATTTTGGTCATTCTATTAAAATTTCTGTTAAGTGTCCTGGAGCTCTTGGCCGGAAATTTGGGCAATTTTCAAAGCTTTGTAATTCAATCGTTTCTTAACCAAATTTAGCCCATAATATATCAAAATGAAGATAGGAAACTATAGAATAAGATTATACCATTTAGAAGCCTAATAGTTGCCGGAGATGGTCATAAAATAGCCTCAAAGTTGACTGGTCCGAGGGAAAACTGAAAAACTGGCCGGAAACTGAGTAAACTTTAAGCGTTCATAACTTCTTCAATACTCAACGAAATCAAGTGATTCAAAAACGAAAATCATACTTCTCGATGAGAAGAAGAGAATGGTACCTTTTTTTTTTATGGCTAACTCGCTGTGATTTGGCCAAAAAATGGCACGAAAGTGGCTAACTTGAGACCAAGACAACCATTTTCGAGCCGTTTTTCGGCAAAACCATGGCGAGTTAGACGTTGAAAAAGATACCCTTCTCTTCGTCTCATCGAGAAGTATGATTTTCGTTTTGAATCACTGATTTCGTTGAGTATTGAAGAAGTTATGAACGTTTAAAGTTTACCCAGTTTCCAACAAGTTTTCCAATTTTCCCTCGAACCAGTCAACTTTGAGGCTATTTTCCGATCATCTCCGGCAACCATTGAGCTTAATCTTATTCTACACTTTCCTATCTTCATTTTGATATATTATGGGTCGAATTTGGTTAAGAAACAATTGAGTTACGAAGCTTTGAAGATTGCCCAAACTTCCAGCTAAGAGCTCTGGACACTTAATGGAATTTTAACAAAATAACCAAAATGATAGATGGTAGACACTCTCAGGACCACTTCTATTGATTTGAAATCTCAGGGACCAAAGTGATGTGTTATGCAAATCTCAGAGACCATTTTAGCTAAAAAGAAAATTTATACTAGATTTGGTTTCTATGGAAGGTCTAAGGAGTTAGGAGAAGGTAGGTGAAAAGAGTTAAAGAAATGAAAACAAGTAATGTCTAAAGGAATCACTAATTGTAACAGATTAAAATTTGAATTATTAGACAATATAATTGACCAATATGGTCCGATCCCTAGCAATAATACAGCAACGCATGTCCCTTTCAATTTAGTAACTGCCACGTCTATTACTGTTCATAATGGTTGGAGGCATTGATTTTTGTTAAAGAAGTTCACTGTTCAAGAAATCAAGTGATATAGTAACTCCTTCAAGACCGTCTAAGACCCAAATCCACCAAATAGTTGAAAATGCTATTAAATAAGTCCCAAGTTCAAATTTCCAATCCCACATTTCGCCATTTTGCCCCATTGTTGATGCGCTGAGAGGGTAGACTTCCAATAACACTCAGTGCATGCAAGTATTCATTAGAAATCAATTTTCCTCATCCGTTGATGTCTAACTAATATAAATTCAAGATTTCAATTCTTTATAAATTTTTCTGATCATTCCACCCACCAAGTTACTCAAAATCTGCAGAGAACAACTCGGTAGCAGAAGAATTACATGCCTTCCGTTTGCCACACGAAGCTTATTATTCTTTTGGGGATGTTGTTATTCATACTCTATTTTTGTACCACATTTTCATACCATCTTAAGTGGCATTTGATTTGGACAGCCATATCATTTGAATTAATCAGATTTTTAAATTTAGTTCATTATTTAATAAACTAATAATTAAGAAAAACTAATTAATTAAATAATGATTGTGATATACGATGAATCTTTCTCCTTCCTTTCCTTAAGTTTTGCAAACTTTTCAAATGATTTGGATGTTCACATTAAATGTCACTTGATATATAAATGTGGTATAAAAACATGGTATGAATAACATTACTCCTCTTTTGATTGTTACTCAATGGTAGTAGTATTAGGTGCCTTTTCATATCTGATTTATCAAATAATCAAGTCAGTGAACTACTCAAACCAAGATATATCAAGTCAGTGAACTACTCAAAACAACTTTGCGCGACAGTTGTACCTACATCGCGCAAAGCTGTTTTGCGCAACGCGAGCCTTCGTCGCGCAAAGGTAGTTTGTGCGACGTTTTGTGTTTTGCGTTGCGCAAACATATTTTACGCAACGAAATTTGATCCGTCGCGCAAATTGCCGTCGTGCAAACATGTTTTTATACTATTGACCATTCATTGGAGAAACCCTGAACTTCATGGCTGCCATTAACCGTGGAAAGGGGGTTTACGAGTTTGTTCGTCTTCGCCGTTTCCGGTAGTACCTCTCTTTGGTTTCATGATCTACCTTTATAATTTTTTCTGTCAAACAGACAGGCCAACAGTCCACCACCAACTGCCCTAATAGTGTTCTCCAATTTGTAACTTGTCACTTGTATGGTAGGCGTGGGATTTTATCACAAAATATTTCAGTGTAAATATAAATATAAGTGAAACCACTTAATATATATTATATTCAATTTTGTTAAATTGTCAGCATCAGATTCTTATATTCTTCTGCAGCACCGTAACTTCTGTGAGTGCAGGCAGGAAATTGCTTTAGGACCAACATATTTGGAGAGACGAGGGTTTTCGTTTCGAGCACGTAGCCAGACTTCAGCAAAGGCAGTCTTAAACAATGACTTGGGGAGATTCAGCAAGAGATGCATGAAATCTATTGCTGAGCTAAGCAACTGCTCGTCATAAAAATATAAAACTTTGTATGGTGTTTTGTATATTTCATTTTTGGAGCAGATAACTTGCAAAGCTATGTGCAAGATGTTTATAAGCGCGGAAAGCGGATACGAACTAGATTTTACAAAGATACTTCAGGTAAAACACTATTCCGCCTTCGGATCCTATATAAAAAGGCCCAACATGTCTCATAAATGGGCTTTGTATGTCAAAATTATCAAAGAAACAGACCAAATGCCTATTTCTAAGAACATTGATATTGTTCTCAATTTGGTAATTACTACCTGCACAATCCGTTAAGTGTGAGGTTAGAATATTTAAACTCTTATTTTCCCAGATATACGATCGATGTGGAACCCTACACGTGAGGCCAAGAGACCCACCATCATAGCCCGGGGCTAAGGGGACCCACCCATCACATGGCAGTATGGGCCCACTCCCAAGCTCTGATACCATGTCGAAATTATCAGAAAGACGGGCCAATGGCGCACTTCCAACAAAACTGGTATTGTCCCACTTGCATAATCCATTAGGTATGGGGTTTTCTCACAACAGATCTTGATATTAGTTAAAGTGAGATTATGATATTTCAACTTTTTTTTATTTATTTATTCTTTTTATTTTAGAAATATGATCGATCTTAGATATTTCAACATTTTATTCATCTTTATGGGCTTGCAGGCCTAAATTTTCAAAACCTCACAGGCTCAAACTGTATGGTTCAGGCGAGAAAGAAAATCATGAGAATAATTGAGGATGCAATGAGTGAAAGGATAAAAAGGTTAGCAGGTGCACACTACTGCGCGGGGTTAGCAGATGAAGAGATCAAAGATAATATATTAACCATGATCATTGCAGGTCAGATGGAACAGCCAGCACAATGACATGGATCGATGGTCAAATTCTTAGACGAGAACCCGGAAGTACTTCACACTCTTGTGCTAAGTCAGAGTTCAAGCTTCACTTTGTCTTAATAATTTTTAGGTAAATATCAGTTTACTACTCTTAAGTTTCGTGGTTTTCAACATTTGGTACATGAAGTTTTTTTCGTTCCAGAGTCATACCTAAAATGTTAATTTTAGACAGTCTCATACATCCGTTAGTCTGGATGTTAAGTCTTCCGTTAACTGATAACGTGGCACCAATGTGAACAATGAATGGGTGTTAAGTGTCATTAAGGAGTCCACGTGGAAATTAAAAATTTTTAAAATAAAATTAAAAAATAACCCCTAAAACCTACCCGTCTTCTACCTCCCGCATCCCTTCTTTACCCTGCAACACTTACCCCACCCCCACCCCCACCCCGGCGCACCCTTTCCCTTCCTCATCCCCCCACACCCTCTCCCTCCCTTCTCTCTTCCCCAACCAAAACCCATGTTCCTTTTTTGGTATTTTCTGCAATGGTACAAGGGTTTCCTCCATAGACCTCCCCTGGATCCAAGTGCCGCCCTCTCCTCACCTCCTTAGCTCCAGCCCTCTTTCCAATGTCCCTAACTTCGCCGCCGCTTGCTCCTCCTTGACCTTCCTCAAACTCTCTCAATTTCTCCACCACACCCTCCTCATCTGCCTTCCCCCTCTACACTGAGATAGGAGATCGAAAACCAAACCCAGTTGAGAATTTCAAATATTTGATTAGGAACAAATAGAACCACTTCTAGAATTGGGGAAAGAAAAAGAGAACCCAGATAACAACTACTTGAGAAGAAGGGGGAACCAAGGTCACGGCGGCGGGAGGGAGACTTGTCAGTGTTGCCTTGATGGACAGATTGCAAAAGAGGATGGAGGAGAGAAAGGAGGGTGGTGCAGGTTGTAGAAGAGAGAAGGGATGGAAGGGGTGCAGGTGCGGGTTGCAGAAGAGACAAGGGAAGGAGAGGGTGCGGGTGGGGGGGGGGGGTAGGGGTTGCAGAGAAAAGAAGGATGAGGGGAGGTAGAAAACGGGTAGGTTTTAGGTTTTCGGTTTTTTAATTTTTATTTTTTATTTTTTAATTTTTAATTTCCATTTGGACCCTTTAATGACACGTGGCATCCCAGTGATTGTCCACATATGTGCCACGTCATCAGTTAACGGGTGACTTAATAGCTAGACTAATGGATGTATAAAACTGTTCCAAAATTAACACGTATGACTCTGAGACGAAAAAAACTTCATGTACTAATGTTGAAAACCACGAAACTTAAAGGTAGTAAATTGATATTTACCCTTAATTTTTTATAGCTGTATTAGTGAATAATATGCTACTTGTTTTGTTTGATTGAAAAGGAAAGAACAGCTTGGCGAGAAAAACTTCTTCGAAGTCATTTCTTACAGTGGAGAGCATTACCGACGTGCCGTATGCTTCTTATGTCCTATAACCTACAATATCGCTTTACTTTTGACATTTGTGCTATTTGACAAACCTAGAAACAACTTTCTTGAAGATTTTTTTTGTTCTTTTATCAACTTACTATCGTCTACAAGGTCGAGATTACACATGCGGACTTCTCTCAGTAGTGTGGAGACTGATGGCAATTGATCAGATGGTCATATATGCTCGATCGTTCGTGAAGACTTGCAAGTTGCAAGTATTAAAAACGATTGTTTCTTGACATACTTCGTATAATTGATTGAACAAAATGAGTGGTGTGTGTCAATTAGGTGGTAAGAATCCCTAAGGTTGGCTTCCATCGATGCCATGGTTTCCAATACTTGCTGCGAGATGGAAGGTTTGAGCTCTGAACAAATTAAATATGTTTGTTTCATTTACTCTCTCTCTCTCTTTCTCATCAATCTCTCTTTCAGTGATTCTCGGTCCTCAGAAACTCAATCCGTCAAGGTTTGACGTACGTATGAATGGATGAAATTCACCTCATTCAATTAATTTCTTGTTAAAATTAAGTTAAAACATGTACTGTACGCGATTAAAAGTTACAGCTTACAACTCACTGAATTCGACTTTTTAATAAACTGCATGCATGCAGGATATATACGAGTCAAAAGTACCGTACAGCTTCTCAGGTTTTGGGATGGGAGGGAGGTGCCTGGGGATGCTCATGGCCAAAGGCCATGATATTGGTCTTTCTCCACCGTCTCATCATTACGGACAAGGTCCACACCCCTACTTGTTGTATATTGGGTAGTTAGCTTAACACTATTTAAAATCACAATTAGGAACATATTAAATCAGCTTTGTTATGGATAGGAATATTCATAAGACGAAGGCATCGTTTCATTTGTCTATCTTTTCATTCAATTAGGAAATTATTTAAAAATACTTTTAAAATAACCCAAACCAATTTTGATGAAAATATCTTTAGAACTGCTCACGCGCTTTGGAATTGGACACAATATAAAACCCTGTATGGCGAAAACGACAAGTACACCAAATTTGACCCTAGAATTCATGCCAGAGAAATATTGACTACATAGTTAGAATCTCTTATCTGTCTTCCATTTCGGGATCATTCAACTTAAATATAATAGAAGGTAGCCTGAGCAATTCCAAATTAATTAAGGTGCCAAAAATACCAGCCAAGCTTCCCGGGAAATGGCGCCAAACTCTATCCATTTTTTTCTATACAAACAATAATATATACAAAATTAATTTAAACTATAGAAAGAACATCTAAATTCGAGTGCAAAAAAAATAACATACTGTTTTAGCCAATTTAAATAAGGAAGTTTTAATGAAAAGTTTGCGGTACGATTCATTTTAACAAAAAATTATATTTTTACACAAAAAAATCAATCTTGGTACTATTCATTTTACCCTTTATTTTGTCCTTATCATTAAAACTCAAAGTTTTCAAACCATTTTCTTTAGTTTTCTTTTAAATAAACTCAAACCTACTTTTGATTTTGTTAATTAGAAGCAATATACATTTTTTTGCAATTGAAAAGGCCAATGTGCCTTAATTAAACCGCACCATGACACCCCCAACTTACAACCATGTTATAAGAAAACCATTTTGTCGCCTGTAAAGGGAATGATAAGTGGGTAATACCATATACCTTTTGCTGGATCATTTTCCTTTCTATTTCACTCACTTTTTTTTAAGAATTTCTTCCTGTTCTTTTCTTCATGAGATTTTTTTTAAAGACGATATTATGAAATAAAATAACATGAATTGTACTGTTGTACGTCATTTTCAGATACTATCCAAAAAAGGTTACAAAGACTAGTTTAATTATTACTTCACTTTTTTTGTTTTGAAATCTATGGATAGAGACAATCCACGTTCCACTAATAAATCAACTTTCTACATCACTTCTTTCATCTCCTTTTTATTCTCCCAATCACTTCTTCCCCTCTCTGTTTTAATATACATACTCTACCCTTTACAAGTAATTAATTTTTAAAATTTTATGTGCATTGGTTTGACAATAAGAAAGGCAAAACGAAATAATACATACCACTTTGTATTTAATTGATTAATCTCAGTTTTCCATTTTTCAATTATGCATGGATACTGCTTTTTTCCCTCACAAGTAACCAGATCCGACCTTGAGGATGTGCAAAAGGTGTCATCACACAGGGTTCCCGATTCGGAAGGGTCCCACTAAGGGCTCGTTATAAGTGCTTTTAAAATGACCGAATGTGTTTTTTGTGAAATTATTTTTAGAATCAATCGTTAGTAAAAATGCAAGTGGTTTTGACACCCAAAAATATTTGCACTAAAAGCAAATTCCAAACAAGCCAAAATTTCTCGAATTATTAATTTCAATCTTTAGTTCTACCTAATTATCATTTAAAGAAATGTTAAGCAAATACTCTGAAAAGCTCTTCCATCAATTCAACATCTACTTCACTATGTATTGTTGCACATAGGGTTTTAGTTTCAATCTTTTTTTCTTTTCATTTTTCAGCTCTAATAAATTAAAGAAGCCAATTGTTATTTAAAATTCAGACAATGACATTGAAAGTCATCAAACTAATTTCTCATTCAACAAGCACAACCTAATAAAACAATTCATGTACATGATCTGTAACATAGACACTTGAAAAAGCTTAGTATAAAAACTCGGCATTTGGGTTATATTTCTTAATCCCAAATTTTAATTAGCTGGGGCCAGAATTTTGTTTTAAGTGTGTGAGATGTTTCATTTTAGGGTTGCAACATGGATTATATATCTTCTCTTTAGGACGCTTTCTGCTGTTCATGATGTTGACTTAGCCAATCACTGCATATGCCGCCTCTCCGTTTGTTTAAAGAAAAGCACCGTTTAATTGTGACTTGCCACCAACTTAATGCCATCTAGTGTGTGGTGTGGCCTTCTAATTAAAACCCTAAGTTTTCTTTTATCACCAACTTTTATCCCTGTTCTGTATGAAAATATGAGACAGAATAAATAGGTATAAACCGGCTACTTCACCAAGAACTTGAGAGGATTAAGTAATAAAATTTTGAAAGAAAAAATGTAGGGCATGTTTACTTACATACAATAGGAATTTAAATCATTTTGATTTCAAGTTCATTGCGTTTACTAAACCGAATATTTCACATCTTAACTTTTTTATGTATGTACTAACATGTATGAATTGGAACAGTGAGTTTCCTAGTAAAATTCGTAATCAAATGCTTAAAAATCAAGAATCAAATCAACAAGAGACGACTTGTTGATCTAGTTTCATTTTATTACTTCCCATATTTCTATGTTGTGTCATTATTTCCTTCTCTCGTATATTTCTCGAGTAAACATGGCCTCATTTTACTTTCATAAGAAGATGGGGATGAAGAGAAGCAGTAACAAAACCCCAGGACAAGGGGTAGTATTACTCCAACAAAATACAGATACAACTACATTATACAAATCAAATATTTTATACGAGTTTATATAGCCAAACATTATCGGTTTCAGATCAATAATGTTGTTTTTGTGGTTGTCTTCAAATAATAAAGAGACATATAAATCGTGTTTGGAAGATGAAAACTGGATTGTTTAATATGTTACACACTGTGTCCTGTATTCCAATCACATAGTATATATAAAAAATACTTTAATTTCATGGATATTTTCTCTTGTCGAGTTTAAATTCATCGGGTTAGTGCCATTTCTACGGATGAAGTGGGTCGGCCAAACAAAATAATTGGAGATGTTTTTACTAAAAATATAAATGTGTAGCACCACGAGTGTAGGTGGTGCTAGCGGGTAGACTTGCTAGCGCCTAACGAATAAATAAAAACAACTTTAAAAAGTCTTAAAAGAGAAAGGAAAAGTGGTGTTACGATGCTAATAATGAACGAGAAAAGCTGCTTGATGCTTTTGGCTTTTTGGCTTTAGTTGTCCCAGAAGGCAAATACGAATTGTACTAATTTCCTCACAAATACGATTTGTACTTATCCTTCCACAACTCCACACAAAAGCATTAATTTATTTTGTGCAACCATCACTAAATAACAAAGTCTTCTTTCTCGAGAACTGAGCTGTAATATTATAACACTGTGTACTAGATCGTGTTTTTTACACAGTGACATAATTTTCCTCCTCCACCTCCCTTTTGTTTATTTCTTCTACAATGGTTCTCCTAAACCACTCAAAATAAATGAGAGGAAAAAAAAAAAAAAAAAAAGCAATGACGTGAGAAAAAGGAATTTGGATAATGGAAATTAGAAGTTGTATTTATAGAATAAAAACGCTTGTAAAATGGAAAGACAATTCAGATATTTTGATAGTGGCAACCTTGCCTACATGTATAAGGCGTGCTTTAGAAATTATAATCGCAAAACTGTGTGTAACTTTGCAAAAGATAGACAAACAATTAGTGAAAACGTAATCATGAGAGACCTAAATGGAAGACATGAGGCAATCCATAGTTTAATTTATAGAATACCAAAAAGGCTAAAGGTCGATGAGAAAAAGTGGCTTTTTTCATAAGAACATTGGGTAATACTAAATTATTTATCTAGCATACTTGATAACGTGTTTATTTTTAGTAAGTGGGACATTATATAATTTGTAAATTTGATCTCCTAAAAAATGGAATGATACATCAATTTCTATATTATTGGGTGATTATTGATTAATGCCATGCATTTATAAGCTGGAAAAAAGCCATGGAATAATAGGGTTTCAAGGGAAACTTAAATCATAAATTGCGCAAAATGAATCATGTTAGTAAATCCCATTAAACATTGCCGTTAATGGTAAGCAAATATTTTCCTTCACAATGAAGGTGTTCATTTGTGGTTTGAGGAACCTCCGAATCTTTAACCTTTAGTTAGAAAATGTAATGCTTGAACTGGACTTTTTCCCCAGTTTCCTTGTTGTATTGTCTCAAGATCTTTTCTCATGAATGAAATACTATCGTTGCCATAGAAAATAGCTTATAGCAGTAAGACAAAAAATGGTGGACAAGAAGTCACAAAGCATGCACAAGAGTTGACCACTGATCCTTTAGTTTAGGTGAAGCAAAACATCAATCTTACATTCCAAGCACGCTGAAAAATGACAAAATCTCCCTCCTCATCACCTCATCAACTCATCAAGCAAATACCAACACAATATAACACAACAGACGCAACCTGTCATCAATCCATAGGGATTTCCAAGTGCCCACTTTGTTTCTTTCTTTTTCTATAAAACCCGCAAAATACATTATTCACCACAAACTGAGCCAAATTTTGCTCAAGTTGCCTTAATTCTTTCGTAAAAAAATATTAACAGAAACAAAAAAAAATATATAATACTATCAAGTGCCATAATCTTGATCGTTACAGACAATCAACAATTCAACATATTCTCCTTAAACTTATCTCGGTGTAATTTTTGAATAAATCACGAAACTTGATCCATGCGACGATTATATAGCATATACCTTGGGCTAGTTAACAAAAAAATTACAAACACCCCTATCCAACTCAACCACTATTTCACCTTTCCATTCATTTCATTTCTTAATTCACATCGTATGAAGACGCACATAATAATTTGGTCTAGTTGAATTTAGTCAGACATTTGGTAAAGTTTTTCTTAAAAAAGAGCACGAATATGAAAGATAAACTGAAACAATCAAACATAACAAAATTAAATATCAAGCATATCTCAAAACGCCCAAACTCGATTTCAATTTTATTTAATAGGATAATAAATAATGTGCATCCCTGTACTAAAAACTCTTGAAAGCTAAACCTTGTTAAACATTGAAATACTAAGTACTGCTAAGGTAAAAGTAGCCTCAGTGAATTACTGCAGAGGTAAAAGAAGCCATGCGAACGTAATTTCCCTCTGCTCTTCTCCTTCTCCTTTCATCTTCTTCCTCTTGCCTTTTCTCTTCCTTCTGAGTCTGCTTCATATCTTCAATGAATTTCTGTATTTTCCGGTTGAACTCCTCGTTGTCCAGCACCTCCACGGACCCCGACCGCCTCGCCACCTCTTCCTCGCCGCAACTCTTATTTTTCCGGTAAATCTCCGTCTCCGATCGTCGCATAATTCTTGTAGTACTACTTGTCTTCTTCTTCCCAAAACCCTCCGATTGTGTTGTCATGTACCGCTTCTCCTTCTCCACCAATGCCACGTCAGCACTCTCCGTAGTAATTGTAATAACCGGAGGGACGTAATGAGTTTCCGTTTCTGTAACCGTTTCGCGGCCGTTAACCGGCGGAAATGGCACCACTGCATTCTTAGACTCC